ACGATCGTGACGACTTCATCACTGTAAACAAGCACAATATCAAGGTAACCGATTGACAGTGCCGTTCAAGAATTGCAACTGAAGTTCAACAGTCGCTCCAATTTCCGTATTACGGAACGACACACCTCTCCTCGCTAGTCCATTAATATGGAGTGATCACATTATACCTTGATCCACCTGCAAGGCGCACAAGTTGTGTGTAATTTTAGAAGCCTGTCCAAAACATTTACTGGTCCCTCACGCTCTCAAACATTCAAATGCATCAATTCGCAGACAACATTGTCACGAAGTTAGCGAGCGAATGTACGGACTGTACTGTCATTACTCGCTCCCACAGTATCGCAAAAGCCTTTGACAGAATTTTCGAAAGGCTCGAGCTATATCTTCTTGAGCAGCATAGACAAAATCTTCTTTCCTGAACGGAGGCAGTTGAGGTTCTATGAAAATAACGTATTGTAGTGCAATGGGATCTTAAGCAGATTTCGACAACACTGTAAGCGTCACTTTTTCGGAAATTCGTAAACATCTTTGAGAACATGGTTCATCGTAGCAAAAGGATGTTTGCAGACGGTTCAGCTATCAGACTACAAACGCAGGCAAACTGCAAGTTAAACGAATAGTCTTTAAAAGTGCAGGGAGACTTGCGTGCATTACAAAAATATGTATCATTTGTCGGTCCTCTAGTTGAGCGAAGTAAAGAAACTATACGAAATAGTCAGAGACGCAGAGGTCATACTTTCAGGTAGACTGGCTAAGTCAATTCAATAAAGAAACAACGAAAACAAACGATAATTACAACATGACGTACGACTACGGCAGCATTATGCACTACGGCGGAACTAGGTATGTTTTTAAACAAAGAATCTAACCAATTTTCCACTCCATGATCATGACACTGCACTGACCTAATCGCTGTAACACAATTTGCGACATTCACTGAGTGATATAAAATGTTGGACAATAGCTGGTTGTTGACCCTACTGTTATTTAGTGCATCGTTCAACAAAAAGCCAACAATGGTTCCGTTTGACATCGATTATCAGCAGACCCTTGGATCTCCATTCATTTCTTTCATCGAACTCTCAATGCTCAATGAGCACTACGGATGCAAAGGTTTGATGGTCATCATTAGAATATCTCTCTGAAGATATACTGTACTCACTTTGAAAAATACTGATCCTTGCCAAAAGCCAGCTAAACTGTGTGCGCAGCTGTAGAGAAGAGCCATTTTTGCCACTCGAAAGTAAGCCGAATTCCTAGAACCAGGCATGCACCTAATTATAGCTTCTGTAGCCGTCGTGGCTAATGTCGTGGAATCCCTAGCTTGTGATCATTTCACTATTTGTTACCCTCACACAATCCACTTCGTATTTAAGGTTTTGAATGGGCTTTTTCGCGGTCAAATTTGACCAGTATTTCTGAGAGAAACTGTCAATTGTCATTTCGATCGCAATGATCTCCTTCAAATATACCTTTGCGCACTTCTAATTTATTCAAACAGTATACCTGTAACCAGTGAGCGTTTGGTCCTTGTTGTGTTTTGATCTTCACACCTGCATAAGGGCACCGTCAAGTAGAATAACCTTCGCTGGAAGTTCACTAATTTACTTCGATTTCGGTTCCCTTGGGAGACTGCAAAAATACAAGGCAATTATAATTAGTGATCCGTAACTACTCGACACTTCAAGAGACGTCATTAAGGGCTGCTTCCCCCACTGAGTTCCCATTGTAAAATTTACACGTGATATGTCATAAAATATTGACCTGCTACGCCAACGAATGCTGAGCTATTGCGCAAAAAAGTCAACCAGCCATCACCTTTCCAGCCAGGTGCTAACTCTTACGCCATCGAGCGCCGCATGTTAAACCCTCTCTGCTAACGCTTCATGCCGCTATCCTTTCAGCACTACACGTTTAAATGGTAGCCAGTCAGCCCCGTTAGCACCATTATGCCTATTGGCCTGTTATTTTTTGGGATTTAAGACTTACCTTAATCCGGTAGTGACATATCTCGAAATCTTCCTGCTCACCACGGCCAAGGCCAATAGTATCCTCGAGTCTCGTCCAGTTAGGGGAAGCATAAATTTTATGGCTGCACTTTGTTACTGGCTAAAGCAAACACTTTCGGCACCAACTTCTAGATGACGGTTATATCTGATACGTTGCTCACTTTCTTATTGCATCGAGGTCCACCATAGCCACCAGGACATATGCACCTTGGCCAGTCTCGAGAT